AACTTCGTAATTTTAATATAACTTCGTAATTTTTGCAACAAATAAATATCAGGTTACACTTTTTCTTTGTTTCAAATTTTGCTTACGTTTACGCATACGGACTTGAAATGCATTTCTCAGAATTTCATTATAAAAGCTTTTTCATTGGTCAAATTGTCAGACCACCAAGTTGCAAAAGTTAAAGAAGGGATTAAGTTATAAGTGAGGTTATAAGGGAGGAACAAAGAATTATTATTAGAATTAGAGTTAAGTTATTGTAGAACCAGTATTGACATCGTCGAATGGTCAAGCCACCGTATTGTGCCTAATCTCGTTAAAAAATAAAATAAATTAGTTAAGGAAAAAGTTGTTTAATTGCCAAGAAAATTGGTGACAACGAAAACCCTCAACAATACTTTTAATTTTGATAACCCAAAAGTATTATCAACTAGTGGAAATACACTAAATAGAAAAAATTTAGAATCTATATTTATAACAAAAAACATAGATAGCACAGTGAATTATAAAACGGACGCTGGTTGAATCGGGATACATTACGCAGGAATAATTCATGATTTAAATATATAAAATTTCTTTTAACAAATTCCATAAAGATATAATAATATATAGTCTCCGATATTTCTGGTGGTTTTTATGACCCTCAGAAATAGTAGTGGCAGTAAATATCACCCGGAAAAAGTACCTGGACATGATTTATGATAGGTCCTCCTAGGGAACTATAGTCGAGCCGTCGAATTTGTGCAGTGATAAATCACCGTGACAGGTAGGTAAATTTCTCACATCGAAGGTCGCCCTGTCCGGATTCGTCAAAGTAAGTGACCACACCCCTCCTGGGGGTAGCGCACTGAGCGCGTTACTGGGGACAAAAAAATAATAAAAGCCGCCGACGCACTGTGAACAGTATTCATAACTTCTTATCTGACTGTAAAGGAAGGTTTATTCGGTCGTATAGTGTAGCTGCGCCTTATAGACCCTGGCGGGAGTAGGCGGTTACATAACGAAGGAACCGACTACCCCTTTTTTTGTAAGTACCTGTTACGGTGATTTACCACTGCACAAATTCGACGGCTCGACTATAGGTCCAGGGACGCACATCTTTTTTATTTTATTTTAAATTCAACAAAATAAAACAGAAGTGTAGTAAAGAACATAAATTTACTTATACTTAAATGATTTTACAAAAAAAAAGCAAGTATTAATTTATAATATAAAAATTAAAACATATTTTTTATAATTATCTTAGAATTAGTGTGAAAAGATAATAAATTTTATAATAATAATCATAAATTATTTAAGCAAATGTACTTTTTAGATAGATTTAAATAATTGTAGTATTTTCACACACAGTAATGATATTTAAGTTTTTAAATATTATGTTATTGAAATTTTCGTTAATGTGGACTTGAACAACTCGCGCCAGAGTTTGGGGTTCGTAAACTACCTGTATACAACCCCATCTTTGTTCGTTATATGACTGCAATTAAGTCATAAAAACCACCAGAAATATCGGAAACTTCAACTTGTATGAATTCTTGTATTACAAGAATACGTTCTTTCCCCCACCTGAGTATACAAGTTTTTGATACACGTTTCAACCAACATGGAATTATTCCATCGATAACTTTGCAGTCACCGATACGTGATATTATTAGAATATAATTTAAAATGTAAGATTGCGCTAAGAGGGTTACGTATTTATTTATAGAAATGTAATTTTAAACGGTTTAAATTATTGTATTTGGTATGTCGTTGTATAATTTTGTAGTTTAAATTTAATTTTAGATGATAATTTCTTGATAATGAGCAATATAAAGCTCGAAACGTCGAAGAAATAATGTTTTAATTTTTTAATTTTATAAAAAATAAAACAAATTAACACTGAGAAGAAGTGGTTTATATATACGACTAAAAAAATTTGAATCTCGGTTAAAACAAAAATTTTATATTATTATTTAAAAATTTATTTATTTATATTTTAATATTTAATTTATATCATCGAAACTTTTATTTTTATTTTGTATTTTCATTGAATTCTGTTATACGTTTTTAAACTGTAGCGTTCTCTTTGGCGCCATCTAGTGCCATTAACGCGAACCCAGCCTCAACCCCTTCCTAAGTGTTGAAAAACGGAGACATAGAGATCAAAGGCATCGCCGCGAATTGTCTCTACTTGTTATACCTATACGCTGGTTTCTATGGTTACATAATATAAATTGAACTTGAAAAATTTTCAATTTAGAAAAAGGTCTAATTTTTACATAAAAATGGGAATAATTAGTTAACTTCTATAGTTAGAGTATAAAATTTGTGCGATTTAGTGGTTTGAACATATCCGACGCATTATTTACGCTAAGATAAGTTTGAAAAATCAGTAATACATTTTTTTTTCTTCTTTATAACTCGATCCGGGGATATTTAGTTATAAACCTCAGAACATCTTCTAAAATATTGAGATATGTATAGAAATTATTATAAATTTTTTGGAATGCAAACTGAGCGATGCAACGAGCCATTAAGAAATAGAAATTTTTGTAATAAATAGCACTATAAAAAAATTGCGTATCTACATAAAATAAGCTGTGTAGATTATAGCTGATGCATAAAGTCTCATTACATTACTTCTATTACGTCTTATTAATTATTTCGCTTAAACCCGTAATGATGTTACTTAATGTCTTTTAAAACTGCATTTATTGCTACTGAAGGTTTCATTAAAAAATCGAAACACTTGGAATCGATAATTTATAAATCATAAAATTGATGTTACAGTGAGTTTGTCTTTAGCTAACGGCTTACGTGGTTGCGTTGGGTTGTTCTTCGTTCTTATTCTTCAATAAGAGAGAATTTATTAGTAAGTCTTATACAAGTTTTTAATATTAACAATATTTCAATACTCAAGTTCAAGCCGATTTTTATGTTTCACACTTAATTTTAAATGTTTAATAAAATACTACGTATAATTGGATTTCAAATTAACCCCATCATTCAAGTTGGCTAGAACAAAATGACGAAAACACTTGGTTTTTATCTTCTTGAAGATTATTTTCGGAAATATCACTGTGAGTCCATCTCGCGTGGTCTTCGAGGATTCGGCCCGATAATTTTAACTGGTATTAATATAGTGTGGCGAATGTACCCTTTAGTAATAGAAATTCAAAGTGGGTGTTATTTAATAATTAAGAGAAACACATCATTTTTGTTTCAATGATTTTAGATTACAAGAAAAATTTTGAAAATATTTTATTTCATATGGGGATTTCCGCGATTTTGGTATTAGTCGTTTGTTGTAACATTCAGCTTCATCGTCATCAACAATGTTTAACCCATCTGATTAATTTATTGAGTGACTTTAATTTCGGTATTACGAAGAGCACAAACTCTGTTGATAAAAAACTAAAAACCTCATTAAAAATAATGTGTTATGGAGGATTTTTTATTACGTTTCTTATTACAAACATTTTCATGTGCAATGTTAATTGTAATAATTTTAAGGATACGGAGCATTGTTTAATACTGGTATATTACTTTCCGTATCAATTAAAACATTGGCAAATTACGTTAATGATGTTGTTTCAAATGTATACTATGGGGCTTACACTCAATTTTTTAGAGCTGTTTGCTTTATTAGCTTGGTATTCCATAAAAATTTTAATCTTACATATAAAATGTCTTAAAGAAATGATTGGTAATGTAAATTTGACAAACAGTAAGAAAATAAATTTTAAAGTTTTGTGTCCAGTTGTCTTGTACCTTCAAGATTTATACAGGTATTCTGATCTCTAGGTTGATATTCGTATCATTCACCATTTCAATTATTTCTATTGTTTTAGAATCTGTAATGTCGGTAAAAAATTCTTTACCAGTTTTCTAGTACCAACAAAAATTTTAGTTTCATTTTGTTTAACCACGTCTACTATCGAATTTGCATTGGTATAAATTTTCATAAAGAATTAATCATTCGTTCATTAATTAATATAACACTTTTAGAAAAAGGATTTAGTAAGTTTTACCCTTATCACAACGACCTTTTCTTCGTTATTTCTACTCCATACAATGGGACAAAAATTCACGACAGCGGTATGAACAAGAATTCGTATAATAAACCAATATTAAAATATTTTTTATAATAGGTTAGTAGTATGGCGGAAGTCGTTTATGATCTGAACTGGTATGAAGCAGATATGTCAACACGGAAAGATATTGTAAACTTATTGTGTTTTACACAAAAGGGGTTCGCTATTGAATTACCTATATTCGGTGAAATGTCGCATGCAGCAGTAGCAAAAGTAAGTAAATTATGCTAAATTAAGTTAAAAATAATAAAATTGGCGTCATTTTTAAGGAATACAAGAAAGTTTACCTTTTTTATAATTAAGTCTTACACGAGACAGATACGTTTAGATATATCTTTTTTAATTATTTAGTACTTAATTATGATATTTAAATAAAAATAATGTAGATATTTAAAATAATTTATCTACGACTGCTTGGATGTCATTATTATCACACTCATTTGAGGTGATTTGAGTTACGTAATGATAACTAAACTAATAAACTATAACTAATTACCGGTTTCGTTACGTAACGCATTTTTAGCCCAATCACAGCAGACTTAATTTATTGAAACGAGCAACAATACAAAATAAAAAGTGCTACCTATTTAAAGAGAAACAATACTATTTATTATAAACCTTAATTGTTGATGTGTAAACATGTTATTGAAACTGACATTTATTCAAAATTGTCAACAATCTTTCCAAAATATTTTTATAAATGTCAAAATAGATCTTTTTAAAGAAATTGATTTTTAAGTAATTTTTAGCAGTCGTAGATAAAATGTTGTATACCACACGTGGGCTAGAGCATACTTACAGTACTTCACAGTCATACAGTAATTATGTTTCTAGCCCACTTGTAATATAAATAACTATTAAACCATCAATTTATTAGGTTATTTAATGCACACATTTTGTTGCTAGAAGAAAATTATTATTACCACTTGTTGTATGTGTAACCAATGTTAAATAAAATGGTTAAATTAATAAAACAAGTAACTAACCTTACCATTTGAATCTGTGCTGTATTCTTTATAATTGTATGTTGCGGACGAATTTAAAATAATATACAGTGTGGCTGTAATGTTGCGGATATAGGCGACAAAATCATTATAAACGGTTTATGGGAAAATTCCTGAAACGTTTCTAAAAATTTAAATTTTTTGGTGTAGATTTTAAATTTTTTCGCCATTTTTTAACGAGTTATAACGTCATCGATATTTTTTTCAAATAGCAATCCGTCATTTTTATTACTGAATATAAAAAAGGAATTTTTTCTGAAACTAGTACAGTCAATATTCGTATCGGTAGCATACGAAAATTTTCGAGAAAAATTTCTTTAAAGTTTAATTACTTTAAAGTTCTTTAATTGATAAAGGTTGAAATTAATTATACAATAATAGCGGTGATACCATTAATATCTATTCGCTATCTTCTAAGTGTTCTTCTATAAATATGTCTTGTAGAAGTCTCCATTGTAGTCGACTATGGATTCCAATATCTCCCAATTGATGTTTTTGTGCACTTGGACACTTTTGGAGGTCTTGTAAGTACTTTCTGGTTGTTTTAGTAATGTGTTCTGTTATCGTATCGACCGGAAACCATGGGGCATCTACAGACATTCTTAGGATTTTATTTTGTAGCACTTGATTTTTTTTAATATTAGATTTAGAGCTGTTGAGATCCAAACTTGGCATGCATAGGTTATTAGTAATAACCTATGTTATTAGTAATTGTTTGCGCAGGCAAGAAGCCAGACAACAACTTTAAATAAAGGGCTGATTCGTAGATTCGTGATAAAAATGTACTAAAGGTTAATAATAGATCGGTGTGAAATTAATAGTATATTATTATATGAGCATATAATGAGGGCTATTATTCACGAAGGTTAAGTTTTTTACCACTTTACCACTCGCTACGCTCGTGACATAATTAACCTGAGTGAATAATAGCTCATTATATGCGAGTAGAATACTATACTTTGTCCATGACTATTGAAATTGATTCCATAAATTAATTTTTTAAATAAATTTTTGAATAAAGGTTAAACGTCAATGTGACCCAAATTCAATGTTACTAACTGTAACCAACTTCACAACAATTTGTCAAAATTAAATGTCAGTTTTATAAAACGTCGTTTTCTTTACAAAAATTAATTAATTTATGCTTAAATCATACGAAAAAAGGAATTTGTTTAGGTTTTTTTAATGTCAAACTATTAGAAACTCCTAAAAAATTGAATTAAATTGATGTTTTTTGAACTTTTAACGTTTCAAATAATTATTATTAGTCTGATCAAGATGGCTACCCGTGGATAATGATTATTATTCACCGCTATTATTCACTCCGTGAAAAATGACTACCATTTTGTTTTAAAAAACTCATTCATAAGGTATATATTATAAGGTAGTCATGGACAAATGTATTATTATATTGTTCCCCCTTTGTATAAAAAAACTTACGATTTTATTGGAATTGCACTGACTCGTGGTCGATTGTTCGCGATCTCGAACAGAAGAGAGCGATCTCTCTGTCGATCAAATTGAATTTGCGAACGAATCGGGTGCACATGCGCATCGCGGTCCGTCCTTTTAGCGTGGATTAAACATTCCCCAACCAACAAAAATGTAAACAAACGTGGGATTTTTTTTACGAAATGAACAAAATATCAAAAAAAAAAACCAAAATAAAGGTAAGTAATATAATAAGTACTAAAATATTTTATAATAACAATAAAAAAATAATATACAATTGAAGGGTACAGGGAATAAATGAGCTAAGTCAAAATACAAAATAATCTAGGAAATCGTGTTAAAAGTTTCAGACTGTATAAGTTCGCCTGTAAAAGTAATTTTAATGTTTGAGCATCATTAAAGGAAATGTAGCTCTTGATACTACGGTAATATATAACGGCAAATTTGATTGCGGTTGCATAACGTTGATAATACTCAAAATTACTCAGTAACACCACCAGAAGCTGGGAATAAAACAGCTTAGTCCGAGCGTCAACAGTTTTATAATATTTTATTAAATAATGAAACAAGAAAACATTCATTTAAAACATTCATTTATGGGGTATTGACGAATAAAAGTTTGCTGCCTCAGGTCCACAAAACTGGGCTAGATGCTGTAAATCTTGGAATTTCTCTTTGGAAATCTGTATTAAATCTGAAATTTTTCGTAAATATAGAGTAATATTTAGCGTAACATTATACTAAACATACCTCTATAGCAACACTCCGGAAGCTCAAATTCGTTGTTATTTAGCTTTGTTTTTCGAGACTTGGGGCTGGTAATAACAAAATTTTCCCATGCACCGTTATATGAAGTGCGGTAATATAGTAGATGTGGATGCTCTTTTTCCACCTTTATTTCCTTAATAGGACGGGACAGAATGGGGCATTTCTTTTTGTATATTGTATCGAAATGCTTCGTCCACCCTCGAAAATAATCCTGTGTAACATCCAAAACGATAAATGGGTTTGGTTTGGATCTAGCATTTTCAAAAGCTGCAATCCATTCCTTAGGATGTTCTACTTTGGTTTTTTGATTTACCAAGCCGAAATTCTTGTCGCATTCCAAATATGAATGTCCCCGAATTGGAAATATAACTTTAATAAAGTCTAGACGTTTTTCTATGTTAACCAGATGATGCAGGAAACGAAAAATTGTAAAATTTTTATTCTGACCCGGACACGAATCGCAGAATAAGTATAAGGACTTAACTTTCTCGTCGAGGAAGTTGTACATAAAGTGGTGAATTAACGAAGCGACATCGTCACTACCTTTTTTTCCCACAAACTCAGGATAAACATAAAACACGCTTTGAGAATTTCCCAAAATGTGTATGTTGAAGGCATAAATTGATAGTTGTCTCTTATAGTAAACATCGTTGGTTGATAAGTTTGGGGCAGGTAAATTTTTTGAAAAGTCAAAACATATCGCTTCAATTTCTTTTGACTTTTTGGATTCTAATTTAGAAGCTTTTTTCCGAATGTAAAACTGTTCTGCTTGGCTTTTGTGAACAGTATTTTCCAGCTCAATCTTCTCAATTAATCTTTCTATCTTTTTCGTTTCATTGTCTCGTTTATTTAGTTTCTCAGCGAGGAGTACCCTTTTCTTCGCCATAAATTGATCGCAAGTACTGCATGTATCTGTTCTTGGATATCCAAACGAGATGTTAAAATCCCTTTCTAGAACTGTTCTGTAAGTTTCATACGATATCTTTACTTGTGGATGCACTTCCTCAAATAATTTATGCATTTTTTTCATATTCAAGTCTTCAGATAGGTAAATTTTTGAAGAATCCCGTAAGCCATAGTGAGATGATCTATTCGGAAAGCTTTTTATGTGATCGTGAATGATATTTAGAACTTCCGGACTTAATTTTCTTGGACGTGTGTTATGCTTTCCTCTTTTATTCTTTGGAGCTATGCCAGTCATTTTTAAACTACGAACGAGATGTTCGATTTTTGACTTAGTAATTCCGTGAATTGACATAAAAGCCGTCCTGCAAACAGATACTTCTTCAATACGATCATTTATTTTTGCACGAATTCTGTAGAAAAATGTAGCATCACGAAGTTTCGCGGATTCTTCAGGTTGACGTGGTCGTCGCGTTGCTACTGGTACGAGGGAAATTAAACCGCACAAATATAAATTCTGTTCATCTTCTGTTAGTAGCAAGTTAAATTGGCGTAGAATTTCTTTACGTACTTGTTCCTTCAAGGTTTCGAAACACTTTTTACGACATTTACAGTCCGGACCCATTTCGTGGCTTTGTAGCCTAAGTTTTTTGCGAACTTCGTGTAGCCGTCCAAACTTTTTCCGTTTTTTGGTACTCTGACCATTCGTTGATTCTTTAGTTTCGTCTTGCATTATTTGCACAACACCACACAACACTTTACTGACAGAAACCAACAGAAACAAACTGCGACTCACACTAGGAATTCGAAGCTTCTTTGATATTATTGTTAGCGCAAAAAAGCCAATTTTCATCAACTCCCCTGAGTTAGCAAAAACAGGTAGTTGACGCTGCGACTTAGCCGGTTTATTCCTTGTTTTAAGGACTTAGCCTGTATATTCCCTCTTCACCAAATTTAAGTTCTGTGTTTTCTCTTGACCTAACCGTCTTTTCCCCTTTTTATGAACATTGACGAAAAGATTCGCTTTAATTTTACCAGACTGTGTTGTAAACACGATTTCAACAAAAATTGACTTAGCCTGTTTATTCCCTGTACCCTTCAATTACAAAGTACAGTTTTTTTTTAATTAAGTTGATTTGGCAACAGGCAAATATTAGTTACCGGCCGCGTCAAACGACCATGGTTTGTTTTGATTGTCAAAACTCGAACGACGTCAATTCCCGGGTGCAGTGCTTCGATTCGACCCATTTCCCACCGTAATGGAGGGCGTAATTCATTGCGAATTATTACAAGATCTCCAATCGATGGACTTGACACAGGTACATTCTATTTTTGTCTCTGCTGTAACGCATGCAAATATTCTTGTTGCCATCTCTTCCAAAAATCTCCCATCATCCTTTGAATCAATTTCCAGCGACTCATACCACTTATCGACTCCTGGGTTAAATTGGAATCTACAACAAAAGAAGAAACGGGTTCCAAGCACAAAAAATGTGCTGGGGTTAAGGGTTGAAGATCATTTGGATCTTCGCTTAAAGCTGACAATGGTCGTGACTTGAGGACGGCCTCTATTTGAGTGAGAAGGGTGTAAACTTCTTCGAAGGTAAGTCTCTGTTCCCCCAAGACTCTCAATAAATGTGATTTTACTGATTTCACCTCAGCTTCAGCGGGTCCATTAAAATGTGGCGCTCCAGGAGGGTGAAATTGCCATCGTAGCTCTAATTTTTCGCTGGCATCTTGAGCCATTTGTTGTAATTTATTGTAGGCTCCCACGAAATTGGTTCCTTGGTCCTAAAGGATTAATGAACATCGACCTCTTCGGGAGATGAATCGCCGCAACGCAGCTATGAAGGCATCTGTGGAAAGATCTGAAACCAATTCCAAATGAGTAGCCTTGGTGGAAGCACAAACAAACACAGAAATATAAGATTTCACCGAACGGGCTCCTCGGCACCGACTTATCGTAGTGTAAATGGTTCCAGCAAAATCCACAGCCACCGTGGAAAACGCCTTTCTGCTGCCACCCGAAAACTAGGAAGATCGGCCATCTAGGGAGCATATGACTTAGGCTTGCAACGAAAACACCGAATACATCTGGAGATTACTCGGTAAATCAGACTTCTTGATCCGAGGATCCAATATTGATGCATCACAAGAGATTGTAGTGTACGTTAACCGGGATGAAGATGTTTTCGGTGTATTTCTTCCACCAGAAGTTCACTTACACGACTATTTTTCGGTAACAACACTGGATGTTTATGATCGAATGGGATCACTGCGTGTTTTAAACGTCCCCCAACCCTAATTAAACCCTCTCTATCAAGGAATGGAGCTAACTTTCGAAAAGGTTTAGGGGGTAGCTGATTCTTTTTTATGGAGGCAAACAACGAAGAAAAATGTTGGTTTTGTACATGACGATAGTGGTTAATGCCCGTTGGATTTCAAATAAATATAAGTTTATAGTAACATAATTCTTTTTTTTACATTGAGTGGTAAATCTTTGAACATATGCCAAAATGCGCTGTATTTTGGTCAGAGATGAAAATTTAATTAAAAGAATGTCTATTACATGTCTATTAATTCCAATAGTTTGAACGAAGTTGGGTTGTTGTTCACATGTGATTTCTGTTGTTTCTGAAATTTTGTCGAGCGAGGGCCAATAGTCTGGTGATTTTTCGACCCAAGGGGGACTGTATCTCCAAGACTTTGAAGAAAGAATGTTTTGTATATGGGACACACGATTTGCAATGAAAACTTTCCATCGGCTTGGTGAGGATGCAATCCATGCCAAAGTCACTTGTGAATCATACCATGCAGTGATGGATTCAAGATTTGTGAGGGGAGACAAGATTTCTTTAAGATTCTGCAACAGATCGACAAGAAGAACAGCACCACACAACTCGGGACGAGGAATGGAAATTGTTTTTAAAGATGCGACACTAGATTTAGCACATACAAAAGACGTTTGGATAGTGTTAGGAGTTCGACAGCGTAAATACGCTACTGCGCAATACCCTTGTTGGGATGCATCACAGAACAAATGAAGTTGAATAGACTGGGTTTGAAGAGGGATCATTAAGCGAGGTAAGTTCCATTCTGATAATAATGGAAGATTATTTTTAAAAGTTACCCAATTTTCAGTTATATGAAATGGAGGAGGTTCATCCCAGGAAATTTTCAGCTGCTATAATTGTTGCATGAACACCTTTGCTTTGAAAGTGCAAGGTGTTAGGAAACCTAATGGATCATAAATCCGAGCAATTTCCGAAAGGATTGAACGTTTAGAACAGTGATTTGGACGGGAAGAGTAGGAATAATTGAATTGATCCATGGTTGGATCCCACCGCTGACCCAAAACTTTGACGTAGTTGAGTTCATTGGCGGAAGCCAAAATCGATTGGCTTCTGTAAATGTGTTTCCGATACTGCTTGTAATAGGTTGGTACAATTACTTGCCCTCTTTCGAAGTTCGAAACCTCCTTTTTTTAGTAAATTAATTAGTTCCTCTTGCAGTTGTAAAACCTCGTCGATCGACGGTGCTCCCGCCACAATATCATCCACATAGATGTGATTTTTCAACGCGGTTGCTGCTCTTGGATATTCATCGGAGTGAAGATTGGCGAGTTCTAGAGGGGAACGTAATGCCAGAAAAGGAGACGAGGCTATTCCATACGTGACTGTATTTAATGCGTATTCTTGAATTGGTTCAGTCGGGGTGAAACGCCAAAGGATACGTTGGTAGTCACGGTCAACAGGTGATATCAAAATCTGTCGATACATCTGTTTTATGTCGCAGATGAACGCAAAATTAAAATAGCGAAAAGACAATAAGGTCTTAATAATATCTTGCTGTAGCTTGGGTCCTATCAACAATGTGTCATTAAGTGATTGACCGTTGGATGTGGTCGCCGAAGCATCAAAAACCACTCGCAGTTTGGTGGAGGAGCTGGTGGAACGGAGAATACAATGATGCGGGATATAATAAGTGGCAGAAGGTAAAGGTTCCGAAGAAGAGATAAGGGACATATGATTAAGCTGAAGATAGTCTTTCATAAACTTGACATACTCGAGACGTAACGTTGAATTGTGCAACAATCTCTTTTCAAGAGAAATAAAACGCTTCTGCATTTTGGTAAGAGCTTCCCAAGAGTGGAGTTTTTTTTTTTAAAGTAAAGAAACCATAAATCTTCCTGTTTCAGTTCTTTTATAATTTGTAACGAATTGTCTTTCGCATATTTCATCTTCAGGTGATGACGTGGCTATGTTCGGAACTGATTCCAATTCCCAAAAATTCTGAATTGTCTTTTCCAAAGAGGCATTGGTGGTTGAAAGACATGTCGAGTTGTGGGTTGGATCGGACAGAGAAGACTTCCCCATAAGAATCCATCCAAAAACGGAATTGACAGCGATGGGCTCATGAGATCCGCCCTGAATGGGACCTTCGGTAAATATCTGAGGAACCAATTCCGCTCCCAATAAGAGATCGACCGAGATGGTAGGAATGTTGTTATCTGAATTTATGTTTAGGTGTTTAAGATGTGAGTGCAGGGAAGCAATAGAGGAAGCTGAGGGTTGATTGGAGCAAATACTTGGGGTTATAATAGCTTTGAATTGGAAGGATGGTTTTTGACCATGAATAGGTTGAACGGAACAATCAATTGATCCCTTTTTACAGATCGACGTCATCGAGTTCAGTCCTTGAATCTCTATACAAGATGTGTATTTTCTAGGTATGTGTAACTTCTTTGAGAGCCTTTCCGATATGAAATTTGACATACTTCCAGAGTCGATTAAAGCATTTACTTTATGTAATATTCCAAAATTATCTTGAATGTGTACGGGTGTTATTGGCAATATAACATTATGAGGTATGTCCTTTGTTTCAGAAGACATTTTATGCGAGGAAGTCCCCACATGAATAGCTGCAGAGCCTGGACCCTTAAGATGAAGTGACGAGTGATGATGCTGGTTGCAAATGCGACAGGTACGGTTAGATGAGCAATTATGTGTGGCATGGTTTTGGCTAAGGCAGTTACGACATAAATTGTACTCTCGAGCAACTGCCAACCTTTCAATAGCTGATTTTCCATTAAAAACGTGGCATCGATAGATGGGATGCACTTCTGGGCATAAAATACATTTAGATGATTGCGGTTTTGCGGAAAGATGTTCAAGTTTCAGATTCACTGCCTTTTCCCGCATGTTGGGCTTGAACCGCATAAGGGAAGTTTTATCCCCCGACATTAGTAAGACGGATTCTAGTGCCTTTGCTCTCTTTTCAAGAAAGGTCATTAGCTGAACATATGTTGGATTGTTGGTATCAGTATGTTCTGCTTCGAAGGTGGTTCTGATTGCGTCTGTCAATTTTGGAAGCACTAAATTAAACAGCAAGAAATCCCATTGTTCTACGGGAAATCCTAAGGTGCGGAAACCCTCAACATTCTCATGAAATGTGTCAATTAATGCTCGAAAATTCTTTACAGATTCGTCTTTCAAAGGTTTTACATGAAGAATTTCCAAGAAATACAATGTGCCTAAATGCCGTTTATTATTGTATCTTCCCTTTAAAGTATTGTAAGCCGTTTCATAATTAGCCTCTATTACTGGCAATCCCTTTAAAAGATTAAAGGGTTCTCCCTTTGAAGAGCTGAGAAGGTACTGGTACTTGACAATGGATGATAACGAATTGTTTTCATGAACCAGGGTCCGGAACAGGCCAAAAAACGTATGCCAGTCCTTGTAAATACCATCAAAAGTTGGCAGTGAGATTTTATTGAGCTTCGGAGCTTCTGGTAAGGGAACATCCCGACATGTTGTAGGAGGTGGCGAACGTTGATGGAAGACGGCTTTAATGGTATAGTAAACAGTAGCTGCGTTTTCTCGAACTTTATCGTGAGTCTCAAAGTCAGCTTCGTCAATGATTCCAATAATGGTATTATGAGCTGTTTGAAAATCCTTATAACTGTTCTCAATATCCTGCGCTCGTTCAAGAAAAATGGAATTTGTTAGAGGATCAGAGAGATCTTTACTGAGAGCTAGGCATTCTTGTAAGTGATTAGAGGCGCTAGTACGGCGTAAGGTGAGTCTTGTAAGCTTTTCGGCGCTCATGGTGAGGTAAAAGAAAATAATATATGTATTTTTTTTAGATAATGAATTAGGAAGATAAATTTTAATTATCAACGAGTCGCAATTTGAGGAATAAGAGTGAGAAATAATTCTCGAGTACGAAACGGACAATGTTAAATTCAACAAGGTGAAGAATTAAACAAAGGCGTATTACTAGAAATACTTCGTTTAAATAGGTGATGACGATTTAGGCTGAATTCGACCAATAAGGTAAGAATCAAAATTTGAACATAAAAGGTGATGCTAAAAATAGCTTGGTCCAGTTTTAGGTACCAGATGTTCGAAACGTGGAACGTGGAGGACCGTAAAAACGTGGATAAAATTAATGAGAAATGGGGTAAAATGAGGGCGTAACGACGCAAAAGTAACAAATAAGCAAAAAAAAAATTATATTTGGGAATAAGATCCGGCTCGAAGGACCAATGTTTGCGCAGGCAAGAAGCCAGACAACAACTTTAAATAAAGGGCTGATTCGTAGATTCGTGATAAAAATGTACTAAAGGTTAATAATAGATCGGTGTGAAATTAAATGTATTATTATATTGTTCCCCCTTTTTATACAAAAAAAACTTACGATTTTATCGGAATTGCACTGACTCGTGATCAGAATGAACAGAAGAGAGCGATCTCTCTGTCGATCAAATTGAATTTGCGAACGAATCAGGTGCACATGCGCATCACGGTCCGTCCTTTTAGCGTGGATTAAACAGTAATAACTTATTACAGGTCTTATTAATGATTTGTATAGTAGCATTGCACATTCGATCTTCAGTTTCGATTTTCTGTTGATGATGGGATAAAGTTCTTTCAGTCTTGCAAATGCTTCGTTTAATTTTTAATTAATATGATACTTCCATGTAAGTCTTTGGTCCAAATATACTCCCAGATATTCTTCTTCAGATATTTTTCGGATTACACTTTAAAGGGTGATCTTCGATTATTATTGTTGTCGGATTTTTAACTTGTCTAAGGGTTAATATTTTGGCCTCACATTTACTTGAATTTAAGTGAAAGCACCAAGTCAATAACCATTTATGTATCTGATTAACCGAGTTTTGGAGATCTTGAATAGATTTTTCTAGATTTTCGTTTTGGGTTATTATAACCATGTCATCTGCGAATAAGGCTTTTCGGTTATTTTTATTAATGGGAATGTCATGTAAACAGATATTAAATAGCATTTCAGCTTCTTTCCAGGTGTTAGGAATGTATCCCAGATTCATGCAGACGTTAAAAATGGAGCTTAATATATTTAAGGTCTGATTGGGTACATTTTTGATTACTGAATTCTTTTTGAGACCTTTTTTGGTAGGTAGTCTATTGGTAAGCATTCGAAGTGCTTCGTGGTTAATAGTGGCTTTATTAACAGGAAGATTAGCTTCTGAGAGATTAATATACTGTTGAATTTTATTTGTGAATGTGTAACTCGCTTTTGAAAATTGTGGAGTGAATATTTTTTCAAGATAGTTTTAAAAACCTACGGCTTTATCAGAATCTGTGCTAAAAGTGTTCTCTTGATGAATTAATGTTGGAATTGGTTCTCCTTTTTTTTTGATTATCCTAAGTTATTGTAAGAATCTATTTGATGTTGATTTAATTCGTCAGTGACTTGGTGTGTTAACTGGCTCAGTTTTCTCTTATTTTTTGGATCTCGAGTTCTTTGCCATTCTGTTCTAGTACGGCTTTTTTGGTTTATCATTTCAACTATATAAGCAGAAGGAATGGTGTAATTAGGATTAATATTTGTTTTGGTAGGCTTAATACTGGTGCGTACTGATGTATTTTTTTATTGGTAAGAATCCTCAGGTTGTTGTCAACATCAGAGGGTGTTGTTATGTTGATTATCGGGATTCTTATTTTTATCACTACTTTGCTGAAATGTTCCCAATTTACTATACCCATAATTAATCTGGGTATGTTGCATTTATATTTAGAATTATTGGCCATTGAGATTACAATAGGCAAATGGTCCGAGTTTAATTCAGTTATTACTTCTTGCTCGATGGGAGTTGATATCTGTTTGGTAAATAGTACGTCTAAAGGTTAAACTTTAATATATTGATGTCATTTAATAACCGGGTTAATTCAGGCATTGAAAATATTGAGAATTAATTCATTGATAACAAAGGATTTTAATTTACTAGTGGCGTAATGAGTTTTTTAAAGAAATTTAGGATGGTATCAGGTAAATTGGGGGGATCGGGAAGGTTATTCAATATGTTGTGACTACTTGTTTCTTTGGAGTTTAAGTGGCAGTAGTTAGAAGAAGGAAGTTGCTACGTTCGTTTACGTTATTGATGTTTGAGTTTTGTTGACGTTGATTATTATTCCGGTGTTGTTGATCTTGTAATATTGTTTGGGACCAATGTATGGTCTAAGGACTGGTTTTTATTCAATATAAACTCGATTATTTGTTTACTTTTTTTATGAATGTTTTATTATTCTGGACAGATGACAAAATTGTTTTTTATTTATTCACAAAAACAAAAGATGAAAAATATAGTAACAAATATATTATTTTTAGTACTTCTCAACATTCTCCCCCGCCTTGAAAGAATTCATTTCAATATCCTTCAAACCTGGTAGTGGACAGATGTCAGCTACTCTTAGGTAATTCTTTCAATTCACCATAACTGTTACTACTCTTTTTCTGTTGTCGTTGCCAGGGTGGAATTTAATAATTCGTCCCAATGGCCAATGTTGTGTCTCTATGCATTTTGCCTCTTTGTTGAAGACTGGTGAGGTAATCTTTATACAATTGTTTCCAAAATTGTTGTTGAAGTCGTTTCAATTTTTCGTAATTTAGAAGTTGGTTTGGTATAGTGATGTAAAAAAAGTAACAATTCGTTACACGAGTACTCGTTACTCCGCGAGATCCGAAGTAACTGTTACCGTATCACATCGATACCAGTTACTTTGGATCTAAAAGTTACTTTTTCCAAAGGCCAAGTATTGTTGGATAGGCGAAATCGACTTAAAACTCGAAATGTGCAACAAAATTAATTTTTACATTGCAATAATAAGCTGTAATATCTTTTATTGTTGTTTTAATATTTTTATTTTATTTTATTATTGCTTGTTCTATAGAAGAAGTTTTGTTTTCCATTGTTAATGTGTTACTACTTTCAAATATTTTTGTTATATAATAAGTGAAACATAAGTTATTAATAATTAAATAATAATAATTAAGAAAAATTCTTCGTTATAATATGCAGTGAAAAAGTAAATCCCATAACCTACACTCTATTTTTTGATATTAGTGCACAGTGCATAATAGCGTAACAAACACAATATAATATACGTACAGTATTTGTTTTCAAAAATAAGTGTAATATAAAATAAATTCATATAAGTATGTAGTTCAACTAAAAGGAGTACCTCGAGCGCAAACTAGTACTGGAACCTCAAGCGCAAACGATTACTTGTAACGAGTACAAAGTAACGAATACTTTTTCTGAAAGTAACGGATAGTTACAAATACTAAAAAGTAACTAAACTTTACATCACTAGTTTGGTATATCATGTGATGTATTTGCTTCAGGAATAACACTCATTGGACGACTAATCAAAAAGTACGGATAGGTTGAAATAGGATGTAAAGGATATGAGGTCAAATTATTTTCTTTGTACTTATCGATGTTATTTATTTTTGTTTTTTCTACATGTTTCGAGGAATCTGAGCCCTCATCATCAGGAAGATGATGAAATCCTGTTACAATTATAAATGTTCATTATTATTATCTTAACTACGCTTTAAATTATCTAAGGTTATGTTGTTAAATTTGTTCTTAATTGGCTAATTATCTTAAAATATAATAAAACTAAGTAAACTTACGTCTATTTTTATGAATAAATTTCCACCATGTTCCGTTTTTCTATTTGTTGTTATTGATGTTTATCGATTATGGATAAATTTTATTTTTCTCGTTGTTGTGGCGTGTTCGGTAATCGTCGTAATGGAGGACTGTGACACTTCGTGTTTGGTTGGTATTATTGAATTTGCATTATTTGTTGTTTTTATGTTTGGAATTTGAAATTTAAATTTTTTAATTTTTCTTTTTATGAAACTTTCGAATTATTTCTCTATCATTATTCGTGTTCTATTTCTTATTTTATTTTATTATCGTAGGTATGTTGCGAAAGGGTGTAGGTGGTATGTTAGGATTTGTGTAGGTTAGGATGGGAGTGTAGCTTAAGGGAAGATAATGTTGCAGGGCCAAGTTGTTACTTGCTTTTGTTCTCTCGTTCATTTACCCTTTGTTTTATATTGTGTTGTTATTTGTTATTGTGTTTTTCGTTATTTTGTTATTTTCTTTCTTTATATATCTAGTTGTTCATGTTATCTATTATTTTCCTCTTTGTTATATTTGTGGTAGGTTAGAAGGAGATAGGGTAGGATATATATGGGGTTAGGATAGGCTTGTAGCTAAGGAAGACAAAAGTTGCAGAATACAAGGTGCTACTTTGTCTGGTTTCTCTCGTTCATTTGTCTGTTGGGTGGTGTGAATGGGGTTTTCAAAAATGTGTATAGAGGTCTATTGTTATTTTGTAATTGTTCATTTAGGCATTGTGTATTGGGGTTATTGTGGATAAATTTCTTTATTTCATATGCCCCTAGTAGTTCCATTAGTTTTCCTTTGTCAATATTATGTAAAATCTGTGCATTGTTCGTCAAATTCATGGTATACGTTGTGTATTAGGTGGTTTCCAAATTTCGATTCATTCCTGGTTTTGTGTTCTTTGATGCGTGTCTTTAATGTTCTTCCAGTCTCTCCTATATATGTCGCTCCACAGGTGTTGCATACCAATTTGTACAACACGTATTAACACAAATTAGAAAAACAACAAGTTGTTTTTCTAATTTATGGAATGTGTGTTTATTGTTGATCAGTATCTTTGATAGGGTGTTGTTAGATTTGAATGTTATGTTCAGGTTATTTCTTGCAAATATGTTTTTTATTTTGGAGGCTATATGTCCGGGATATTGTATGGATTGACAATAGGGAAAGTTATTTTTCTGTTCTATTGGTTTTAGTTTAAAAGTATTGTTTAGTGCATATTGTTGTTTTTGTTTGTGTATCATTTTGTTAATCATCGGTTCGGGAAATTGATTGGTTTTTGTTATTTGTTTAATGATATTCGTTTCTTTATCCAATTTGGTTTGATCAAGGTGTGTGTTGTATGCTCTATAGAGATATGTTCTTTTGTGTGTTAGGGTGGAATGAATTATGTCATATGGTATTTGATCTTCCATTCTGTGGATTTGGATATCTTTAAAATTTATTTTGTTGTTCTGCTCAATTTCTGTGGTAAATTTTATGTTTGGGTGTATGTCGTTAATATATGAATGCATCTTCTGAGGTATGGTCGGTTCTTGGGTGTTAAATATAATTAATATATCGTCTACGTATCTTCTCCATATTAATATATTGTTTTTATAGGGGTTAACGTTATTTATTATATATTCATTTTCAATTTTGTCCAAAAACACATCGGCCATGAGCCCGCTGAGGGGTGAACCCATCGGTAGGCCTTCATTGTATATATATTATTATTAAATATGCAGAAGTGCTGTTCAATGCACAATTTGAAGAGATTATGGATCATATTAATTTCTGTTTGGTTCGTCATATTGGTTTGTAAAATGGTTTTTATTATTGTCAGTGTCTCTTCGGTGGCTATGTTGGTATATAAATTTGTTATGTCATATGAAGCCATTATGTAATCTTTCTGTATAGTCAATTGGTTAAGGTCATTCATAAGTTCGTTTCTGTTTTTAACTGTATGTTTTGGTTGAAAATTTATTTAATTTTTAAAAAATTCTATTAGGAATTTCGATATTTTGTATGTACTAGAGTTTATTGATGTTATTATTGGTCGTATGGGATATTTGTCTTTGTGTAGTTTGATATTGGAATAGAGTCTTGGTGTTTGTGGGTTCATTGGGATTAGATTATTAGGGTATTTTCTGTATTTAATCAACGTCTTTTTTATCTGAATAATGAATTTTTTAACCTTGTTATTGAAGGCTATTGTCGGGTCTTTTTTAATTGTTTTAAATTTATTCTCCTTGAGAAAGTGTTCTGTTTTATTGATGTATTCCTCTCTATTTAGAATTACTATACCTGCATTTTTGTCACCTTTAGTAATAATTAGGTTGTCCTCTTTGATTTTCTTCTTTATACTTCTTATAGTTGTTATTTCCTTTTTCTGTTTTTCCTTCTGCATGTTGTGTTTCTTTTTTATTGTTGTTCTATCTCTCTTTGTTTCCTCTCTTATCAATAATTGTTGTATTTCCCTGCTTATGTTTCTACTTTCAGGTCTATTTCCTATGGCGGCTTCAATTTCTATAGCTGTTCTTCGTAGTGTAGGTTTCTTATGGATGGCATATTTTTCGCCTTTGTTGAGAAGTTTCATTTCTTCCTCATTGAATTTTGTCTTTGATAAGTTGGTTATTCTATCATGAAATCTGTGTTTGTTTTCATTCTGTATATTATTCTTTTTTAAATGTTTTATTTTTCGTAGCTTTTTTAGTTTTCTATCCTTTTTCCTCCATTCATCTTCCATTATGTTTTCTTGCATCTTTATAGAGTTGTTAATGATATCTTCGATCTGCGAGTGGTCATAAATCGCAGTCATCTCTTGATAGGATTGGTAAAGTTTGACGTTTAGGTTATTTATTTTTGAGTAGTGCTTGTTAATTTCTTCTTTAATTTGTTTTCTAATCATTTTCTGTTTTGTTCTGTCGTCTATGTGGGTGGAGTATTTATGTATTGTGAAGTTAGGTGTGAGGTCTTCTTCGTAGCACGTTTTGAGAAATTTTATATGTTGAAATTCCATTTGTAATTGTTTTCGGTGTTTCTTATATTCATAGGGTATTCATAGGATGTAAAGGTCTAGAATTTAGGATCCCTTCTATTTGACACAATAAAGTTGAAAATTCTTCAATTGTTAACTTAATGCTGAATGTAATTTTTGTAAGATGTCGTTTAAATGATTTTATTGTTGCTTCATGTAGGCCTTCAAAATGTGGAGCCCGAGGAGGCATGAACTTCCAAGCTATTGAATTCATCGTTAAGAATCAATTTATTAGGTCATCATTAAAAACGTTGTAAGGGTTTTGTAACCTTGTTTCAACCTTTTATCAGCGGCTACAAACGTTTTAGCATTATCTGAGTAAAGTTGTTGTGGCAGACCACGTCTGGAGAAAAATCGTTTTAAACAATTTAAAAAGGTCTTGCATGTTAAATCAGAAAGGAGCTCTAAATGAACACATTTGGTTGAGAAACAGACCAAGACACAAACGTACATTTTGTTTCTTTAATCTCAAAACGTCCAGCAAAATCTAGGGAAGTGTATTGAAAGGGTAATGTTATTGCCATTCTGGGTTCAGGTAAATCCCCCATCTTTCCTTGAACATGTTTAGGTGAATATTTATAGCATACAATACAATTTTTTAATAAACTTCTAACCGTATTTCTTCCAGATATTGGCCATAAAGATTGTCGAATTGCAGCTAAAGTAGCTGAAGTTCCTGCATGAAAATGCCTATTGTGCTCATGCCAGACAATTAATTTCGTCAATGCATAATTTTTTGGTAAAAGTATTGGATGTTTAAAATTATATGATATATTAGCATTCTTTAGTCTTCCACCAACGCGTAATATGTTATTAGAATCAATAAAAGGTGATAAAGACTTTAATTTACTCGTTGTAGCTAAATCACCCTTAGCTTTCAGGTGATGTATATCAGAGCTGAATTCGCGCTGCGCTAATATTACTATTCTTATGAATGCATTATTTATTTCATCGGGAGTTAAAGGTCCAAGTATTCTAAGCTCATGTAGTCGTGATGAATTTTGTTTAAATCTTAGTATGTAAGCCACCACTCTTTTTAGTTTGTTGAGTGATGAAAACATGGCCAAGAAATCATTTACTTGACTACATGCAAGAGAAACTGCTTGTTGTTTTAATTCTCTGTTTAATTCTGTTTCAATTACTTCGATATTATTATGCAATTTCCAAGTTTCAGGAATATCGTGGAGAAATTTTGGACCATTCCACCACATTGTTTCATTTAATTTGGTTATATCATGAATACGTGTTGGAATATCGGCTGGGTTTTCCTTTCCTGTAACATGATACCAATCATCGATTATGCTGAGAGCTTGTATTTTCGCCACTCTGTTCGCAACAAATACCTTTCATCTTCAAAAGGGCATTCGTCTAACGTCCAAAATCGTTGTAGTTCACAATGTAAATCCACAGTGTGCTCAGAATTAAATTGCAAATGCTTCTTATCCTGTCTTGATCTAACCGTCCAGTTATTAACCAACCAAGTTTAGTTTCTCTCATCACAGGGCTATTCTTTCCTACTCATTGGTGCTGATTTCACCCGGCGTATGCCATTTTGGATCGGCTAATTTTATTCCCATAGGCATTTTCAGTCCTTGTTGATTAAACGTTATCGTTGGAACTCTTTTTGTTATGGGATTTAATATCAAAAATGGTAAAGTCACTTGATAATTACTACATTTTGATTTTATGGTCAAATTAGTTTGTTTGAATACTTAAGAAGTAGCTCCATTAACACTAACTATTGTTATTGGATCTATGTTTCGTTGAATAACGTTCAATTTTCTAGTTAGAGCATTCGTTACGTAATTGGTATCGTTGCCATTATAATAATAAAAATAATAATATTCCTTTATTATCCAACAGGCATAGCCCAAAAAAGGATAACAATATATATTACATAATGTAATAATACAATAATATGTATCTGTATGTGAGAAAAAAAAAACAAAAATTACAAAAAATTCAAGAAATTAACAATTGACCGAATTATAAAGAAAATAAAAATAAAAACTAAATAAGTGAATTTACATGCAGGTGATCACTGATTGTCTAGAATTCTGTTGCCCACTTTACAGAGAGTGTATGTTGGCGCCCGTCTCATAATGTTTGTCCTAGCATAAGGAATTGACGAATACGCAGCTATATCTTGAGTTACTCCTTGGATCGATGTTATATTCGATAAGCCTTTGTAGAAACCTTTCATAAAACGCGTTTCTTCTGTCCTTCAAGGAAACCATATTGTGTCGTGCAAGCAAATCATTTTGTGGTATACCTCGCTCAGGGTAAATTCCATCAGATTTGTAAGAAAGAAATTTTTACAATCTACGATGGACTCGATCAAGGCTTAAGAACTCACACGCATATAAGGGACTCCAAATCAGGTAAGCGTATTCTAACTTACTCAGAACATAACCACAATACAAGGTCTTTAATTAGCTGACACTTGTGAAATATTTAGACATACGCATCACGAAACCTAGGGACCTAAAGGCCTCCGAACACACATTATTGATATGTGTTTTAAAATTAAGACTTGCATCAAACAGGACCCCCAAATCCCTGTACTCCTCAACACGACTTAAAGTGCTGCCAGTAATATTGTAAGGATATATGCATGGTGACGAGCATCGGCTATAAGTAAGTACACAACATTTATCTATATTATGATTGTAGGTTTTACACCATTGCACTATTGTGTTTAAGTTGTGCTGCAGCTTATCTGCATCTGCCACCGATGAGACTTCGGCATAGATCTTGATATCATCAGCATATCCCAATATCCGACAATCAATTTTTAGAAGTAAGTCATTTAGGAAAAGAACAAATAATAGAGGGCCCAAATTTGATTCCTGTGGAACCCCTGAGGTAAGAGTGAACTCATTAGAAAAATATCCATTGTAAGCAACATAACATTTTCTATGTTGCAAATAAGAGGCCAGAAGTTGAATTGCTGAAGGAACATATCCGAAAGAGCTCAATTTATACAAGAGAATTCTATGGTCAATCAGATCAAAGGCTTTGGATAGATCAGTGTATACAACATCCACCTGCCCACGTCTATCCAAGGTGCTACAGATAAACTCGGAAATCGCAGCCAAGTTGGTAATTGTAGAGCGACCGGAAACAAAACCATGCTGGGAAGCTGACACAAAAGGGCACGTGCTGGTGTACATAAAAGAATATAATAACTTTTCAAATAGTTTAGCAAAATTGGAAATTATCGAAATTGGTCTATAGTTTGAGAGGGACGTACGATCATCCTTTTTATAAACAGGCATAATTCTTGATCGTTTCCATCTTTCAGGAAATTCACAGGACGTAATGGACAAGTTAATAATAAATTTAAGAGGGCAAGCAAATATATAACGGCAATCTCTGACCATAAAACTTGGCAACAAATCATCTCCAGCAGTATGCTTATTAGAAAACGTTGCCATTAACTTAATTAGCTCCTCTTCTGTAGTGGGATGAAAAGAGTATGGGAACGGATTGAAATTAGATTCAGTGAAAGTTCGGTCAGTAGATACAGTGTGAACAGCAGAAAACATGTTAGCAAAAGCATTTGCAATATCTTGAGGATCAGCAAGAACATTGCTCTCAGTATCAATCAGATTACGGGGTATTCTTGTGGTACGTTTCTTAGCTCGGAGAAAATTCCATATACTGGACGGATCAGTCTTGATGGTATTTTGTATGTTGTTAAGATACTTAATGTAACTGTCGTTTATTTCATTTTTTAACAACCTCCTTAGTCGCTTAAATTCATTATAAAATACATTTTTTTTTGTTTTGATCCATTTTAGTGATAGAATTTTTTGATATTAATATGTCTCTTCATTTCCGGCGAAAACCACGGTGGGTAAGAACTATTAGATTTGGTTTTAATATGGACATGTGTATTAATTACGGAGTAAATGGCATCATAGAAGGCATCCAAAGCCTCATTGACATCGGTATGGGAAAGCAAAAAAGACCAATCATACTTAAAGAAGTGATCATATAATGCAGGGTAATTTGCTCGATGGAAGTCATATCGTAAATTATCAGAAGATGGGAACCGCTGTTGATTAGTAGGTGTAGAGTAGTAAACTTCCACTTCAAGACTGAGATGATAAGAATCTTCTGGTAAAACTGGATTGTCAGATCTTATTATGTGAAAATTCAGGTCAGCATTAGAGATCAATAAATCCAACATTCTGCCATCTTCATTATTAACGTTATTGTACTGTTTGGCATTAAGAACACTTAAAAAATCAATAAAAGCCCTGGTTTTAATTGAATATTGACTAGTAGGTAGGATTAAATCGGGGAGATTGAAATCTCCAACCAATACAAAGAAATGGTTAATCATAATAGCCTCAAGAGCAGTAGTAAATGTCTCCATATCATCAGAAGATATATCGGGAGGAATGTAGACTAGTATGATTAAAATAGACTTGTTATTAATAAGACACCTACAGATTACTAAATCTATCATAGGTACTGTTGCACGAAGATGACTAGTATCGATAATGTCAAATGGTATGGTATGTTTTAGTGCAAGCAAAACCCCAACCGCCCCTCCCACGATTAATCATTGCAAAATCCCTATCCTTACGAATAACATTATCAATAAGAGCGCGAGCTTCGATTGATTTATGTCCATCTTATTATACACTATAGCAGTGGATAAAATATTATAAGCTCCTTTATTAAGAGAGTGAGATGTAAGAGATGTCGGTGGAGTTTTGTTATTTTCTTTCTCCAAATGGATTAAAGTATGATGTTGTTTGCTACATTTAAAACAATTTATATTTTTAATCGTATTCTATCACCAATATTCTTTTTTAGAAATTCTTCACATTGATAAATAGCATGAGAATTATTGCATTGAACGAAACTATTTTTCGCAGCTATGAAATTTGTTATGGAACGTTGTTTATACAATTTAGGGAAAACTCTTAATAGACTCTTAGTAGATTGTGATACATTTTCTAAAATTTGGCAGCTGTTTTTAATAAATTGCAAAAATGCATCTAACTGCGGAATATCATTTTCGTAGATTGTTCCGATAAACGACGGGTGTTGTTGTCTAATTTTTTTTTGATAATAGATATCTTGGGAACATCCCAATACTTCACCGGTAATTCCAAGGCATTTAACGCACGAAAATGTTTTAAAAAGCTGTCTAAAAAATATCTTAACAACGTTGGTGAATCCTTTGCAACATTTTCCAATTCGTAAATTCCACGAATATGGCTATTCATAATGATCTTTTTGTTTTCAAAGAGTTCATTTAATAATTCTATGGCAACTTTATAATTTTTACTTGAAACTTCCGATGATTGAATAACTTCGGCTGCGGTATCTTTTACAGGTGATGTTAAGTATATGAATTTTTGCACGTTTGATAATTTATTATTCTCGTGGACTAACGCGTTGAACGAATCTTATTTTTAAATTTGTACCAGTTTACATAAGTACCATCGAATTCTGCCAGTTGCCTGTGCTTAGATTGCCTGTTGAATGTGCTGTTTTCCCCAATAGTTCCTTTGTTTTGCTAAGATTTTTGTAATATGTTTGTTCAAAATCATCACGTACTTGCTCACCATTCGCTTCATCTAGTCCTAATTCCTCGATTTGATCTTGAACTGTTTCAAATTAAGAAAGTAATTTTACATGATTTACGTATTTCTAATTCGGTTGTTCGTGATTCGTCCATACCAGCAATGAAATTAGCAAATCACGTTAAAGATCTTTTCAACACCGCACGCCTTCGAATGAGTTGATCCGTCATAATAATAATTGATGATTTATGTCAATATACAATTTTCGAATTGTATTATTTTTGAAACGTAGGTACTTACTGTACCGCCGTCTTGGTATGAGATGCCGCCAATAGGATATGGCTCTTGCACTGGAAAGCTATGAGTGATTCCCTGTTAAGTTTTTCTGCTGAACATAATCTTCAACATCCGGCTCGAAGGACTAATGTTTGGGACCAATGTATGGTCTAAGGAGGGGTCCTAAGTGGGGGGTGAGGGTGCGGTGAATCCTAGGTAGGCTTGTCCTACTTGTTTTGCCGTACTCAGGGTTCTTGTCTTATGACCTGAATCAGGACCGACACTGCAGTTTTTACTGCTCCTTCACGAGGTGCCCCTTTACCATACCAAAAGTATCGGATCTAGACTTGCCAGTCGATAAACAGGCCTCCCGCCCGGCTGTCATCGCG